AGAGAAATACTTTTAACTGATGGTATATGGAGGGGATTATAATCAATGTAATGAAACAAGTTATATGAATGGTTGAATGTGAAACTGATGATGTGCCCTGTAAACTTTCACTCACTCAATCCACAATAAAAACCTTTAATTTAAAAAAAAAAAAGTGCTAGAGACCAGAACTGAAATGAAACCTCAAATACATGTTGATGTTAAGTGCCATCAAGTTGATTTCAACTCATAGTGACCCTGAATAGGGTGTTATGAGGCTGTAAATCTTTGCAGGAACAGAAAGCCCATCTTTCTCCCATGGAGCAGCTGGTGAGCTTAAACCATCGACCTTGAGGTTACATGGTAGTAGTGTGCCACTGAGTTGGTTCCGACTCATGGTGGCCCTGTATAGGGTTTCTGAAGCTGTGAATCTTTCTCCTGTGGAGAAGGTGATAGACTCAAACTGTTGACCTTGTGGTGAGTAGTCCAATATGTAACCCACTATGCCACCAGGACACCTTAGTTCTAATACATAGTATTGATTAAATTCATTAAGATGATTAAGTAAGTTATCTTAACAATGAGCTCCCTTTCTTCTGAGAAACTTATGATAACAAGTTAACATTTACTGAACATTTACAATGTGCTAGGCACTGAGCAAGTGACTTACTGAAATTATTTTCTTTTAATCTTCACAACTGATTCCCATTTTAGATATAGAATGAGTAACATAGTTTTTAAGAAGTTAAATTAATTTTTCAAGGAACGAAGTGGTAGAGCCAAGATTCAATCTCTAAGTCTCAATGGCTTGACAACCACTGTACCATACTACACTTATTTTATGCCATGAGATAACTTGAGGAGAGTTGGGTTCATATTTAGAAAAACAAAATAATGTCTTGATTCCTTCAGCATCACAGTTCATTGCAATCTTTCATCACCAGTTTCCTGCAAGGGAATCCAGAGATCTAGTCACTCACACCTCAAGTTCAGAGATATAGGACCTGCCCCAAACCCTGCAAGCGGTAATGGCAGAGGTAGAGCTAGGATGAGAGATTTGACCTAACGTAGACACTGCTCTTTACAAGTTACCAGACTGACCACAACTTAAACAAAATGTGAAGTCCACCCCCTCCCAGTGCCCGGGCACAAGTCCTCACCATAGCAGCATTGTGTTCCTCCAGAGCTGCCGCACAGATCACCTTGCGAAGGAGCCGCCTGTTCCGGAGAGCATGCTGCTGCCTCTTAAAACGCTCGTAGAGTAACTGGTTGTGCAGAAGAAGCAGCTGGTTGCGAAGAGTGTGGATCTCATCTGAGGGAGGAGAGCCTGATTTTAAAGCAGAGGGAGGTGGCAGAGATGCTTTTGACATGTAGTTCAATCAGAGCCCCTCCCTTCAAGTTTTCTTAGCTTAAAAACACAATACCTTGCAGACAAATCACCACTTACGTGGCAACTGACCACTTGGATCACAGCAAGGTGGGGAGAGTAGGTATTTACCATCTGCTTTTAAAGTGGGATGACTCACTTAGACCTCTATTTATTTTTCACTACAAACTTGGATCAGTCATATATGTGTTATTGTTAAGCACCATTAAATGGATTCTGACTCATAGCAACCCTATACAGGGTTTCCAAGGAGAAGCTGGCTAGCTGGTTTGAACAATTGATGGTGAGCAGTTCAGTACTTATCCTACAGCCCATTATCTGTTGTTGCTGTTATGTGCCATAGAGTCATATCCGACTCATAGTGACCCTGTATAAAGTTTCCGAGCAGCAGCTGGTGAGCTTGAACCGTGACCTTGTGGTTCAAATCAACCTTGCAGTCCAGCGCATTAATAACCTGCAGTACCACACCGGTACTCCAGTATATAAATGGAAGACCCCCTTCTATTTCATAAGGCCCTTTCTTTCTTCAGTGATAGATTTTCCCCCAATAACTTTCTCAGTCCCACTGACTACACCTATGTTTTTTTCTAGGGACACCTGGCATGAACATCTGCACTTTTTGAATTTCTATTACACTCATGGTACTTGGCCACTTTTTAAAAATAGGAAATGCTGACTTTGTAACACTTGAGATATTTTAGACAAGCAGATAACCAGCTGGTTTCCTATGGGCACCTCCTTCAAGGACAAAAAAGCCAACAAGCAAACAAGAATCCTAGGGTTCAATGTGGAGCTAAAGTAACAACTTACCTCCAAAGTGGGTCCAGTCTACAGACTTACTGGGCAAAGACAACCTAGGAAGAAAGTATTTGAGTAACAAAGTTACCAGTCTTACCTAGAAAAACTTATCTGTACTTTTAATTGCAGAATATTTAGATCATCTCCTTGCTGTCAGAATCCATAATGGCCTTGGGAAGTCTCCAACTAGAAGCCCACACAGAGGTGCAGAAAAAGTCTCATATTGGCTAGCAGCAGAGGGTGCTCTGCCAGTGGGCAGGGCATCCAGTTATTTGTGACCACTAAGGAGAGGGGAGAAGCCCTAACACTGAGCTCAGTCCTTCAAAACAATGCATGATAAAACAAGAGCTGGTTTTCTGGTCAGTTCTCCAAAGCAATGTATAATAAAATACAGCTGTTTTCAATCCTCTCTATTGAAAGATAGTTCTTAGTTGACCAATGACTATCACCCAAATTTAAGGAAAATAATAGGTAATCTACCTGAGCCGATTGCATAAAATCCCATTTACAAAGGGAAACAAACATTACAGTCCATCAAATTCCAACTAGGTTACTATTTGTTTTTGTTTGTTAAGTGCTGTCGAGTTGGTTCCAATTGATAGCGACCCTGTACAGGGTTTCCAATGAGCAGCTGTGGATCTGAACCACCAAACTTGTGGTTCAAACCGACAATGCAGCTGAATGCTTACCCTAAAGTGCCACAATATGGAAGAAAATTAAAAACTAACATTCCCAAAACTCTGTTTAGAAATGGCAGAGGATTCTAATTCTCTACTAGTTATTCCCACATCTTTTCCCTAGATATCCTTTGAAAATGGTAAAAGAAGGGTTTAAACAAGCATCTTGGGTAGAGACTTCTTTATAAGACACCTTGTGTGCCATCATGGGAAGGTAGAGGGTAAGGCTATCCTGAACTTGCACTGGAATGCTGATAATTAAATGCTCCACCTAATAAACTGTGTTACCAGAAATGGAAAGATAAATTCTCAGTAGCTAAAGAAGACAACACTGTGACAAATATCCCAATATTATCTGAAATATTATAAGCTCATCCTCACATTTTCAGATGGCAAATATGAAAGCACCTGAGCATCTTCACTCAGTGGCATGAAATGGCCTGTACATGAAAATCCCCTTTTTAAATGGAATGTTGTTGTTGTTAAGTGCCGTTGAGTCGATTCCGACCCATAGCGACCCTGTATAGGGTTTCCGAGGAGCTGTTTGAACTGCCAACCGTGCAGTTTAAACAGCTTTGCAGTCTGGCACATTAACCCACAGCGCCACCCAGGACTCCTTAAATGGAATAGTACCCAACTAATTATTCCAACGTAATGGACACATAGAAAACAAATTTATGAAAAGGCAACAAACTAGAAGGATATATGACAAAACAAGAGAGAGAGTTGCCTTTAGATGACAGCACGAAGAATGGTTTTTATTCCTTCCTTACACTTTCTCTGTATTATAATATTTTAGATGCTTAAATCAAAAGGAAATGGTCTCAAGCGCCTTACTTGTTAAGCTCCTTGGTGTGTGCATCTGCTCCTTGCTGTATCAGCCTATCCAGTACTTCCATCGGGGAGGTAGAGGGCACATAATCTTCCTCTGTGTTTCCTTTTGCTTTTTTAAACAGTTCCTCAGTCTTCTTGCTGACAAACTGATAGGCAGTCTTTGGCAATGCCACCTCAAAAAGGTGATCATATGGGGGAGGCTGCCCACTTCCAAACCTCACACCCCTCTGAGGTGGAATCTTATAAGGGCTGGGAGTGAGGATATTCATCTCCAAAGAAGTCTGGCATTCCCTGGTTCCAACAGGGCTTTCATCAACACCTCCACAGGGCAGGTCTATGGGAGTAAAGGCTTGCTTTGGTGTGTCAGGCCCAAGCTTGTCCAGAGAGGAGTTTAAAGTCTCAGGGTTCACAGTAGCGCTTTGTGCACCAGAGGCTGCTGAATGGGTCTTTCGCTGAGAACCTGGGAGACTGTCTCGGTAGAAAGGAGAGTCAAATCCTCCTCGTGGAACCACAGGTGGCTCGGCTTCTGTTGTAGTGATCTCAGAAAGTTCTTTAGATATTGCAGCTGAGAGGAGGAAAAGAAACACAGGGAACCACAGAAAATATTCAATCCAGGTAATAGAGGTTCACATGCTGTCACTAACCAGTGGGACCCAGAAGGGTAGATACAAGCCCTGTATTTGGCATAGGACTTAGAATTACACACCCATTTCCTACCCCCACACCACGGGAAGACAAAGAAAGCGACCCTGAGTGTGGGGACACCAGACCGCGGATTTATAGCAGAACAATAATTAAAGTTTGTTTTATCATCTCAAAGCAACCTCGCAGGCACAGAATCCCACATACATTACCTTCTTCTTTATCTTTTTCAACACTATCTTCTTCAGAGGCCAGATCACCTAAAAACCCTGGAAGGTCACTCAGAGTGACAGAACCTTTGCTGCTATGTGACTCTTCTAAAGAGGAAAAAGACAATTTAAAGTTAAAAGAAATAACACTTATAACCCAAGTAACGTTGAAACTGACATTAGAGTATAAGTCTCCCATGAAGCCCATTGTTGTTGAGTTGATTCTTGCTCAAGACTGCACTTCATATCATAGAGTTTTCTAGGCTATGACTTTTCAGAAACACATTGCCAGCCCTTTCTTCCAAGATACCTCTGGGTGGGTTCACCTTGCCAACCTTTTGGTTAGTAGTTCAGTATTTAACTATTTGCACCACCCAGGAACTCAATCTAATCATGTTATTATGTTGTTAAGTGCCGATGAGTTGGTTCCGACTCACAGCGACCCTGTATAGGGTGTCCAAGGAGCAGCTGGTGGTGGGTTTGAACCTCTGACCTTGCAGTTCAAAACGGCCCTGTGGTCCAACGTTTATCTTACAGTGCAACACCAAGACTCCTCAATCTAATTAAGGTATGGAAGAATAATCCCACAGAAAATAAAATTCTCTGTTTTTTAAAGGCTCCAGAGAATAGATAAAATCACATAGTTTGATCAAGTCAAACTACTTACATGCATTTTACCAATAATTTAAAAGGTTTTTTTTTTTTTTTTTTTGATGTTACTGTTAGGTTGGCTTTTAACTTGTTTCATTGTCTCTAAGCTTCAGAGTTTTACAGATTCCAGAATTTCTTTGTTTCTACTTAACCTTGCATCGACACATATAGAAGAGAAAATGAGAAGAGACAAGCAGGGTCTACTATTACCTAATCCTCTGTCATTAGGACGATGCTGTTGTCTGTGGGGACATGGCCTTGTAGAATCTGTTCTCTCTTCCTGAAAAGAGAAGTACCATTTACAACATGAGTCACACAAACCATTTATAAATGCTCTGATGTAAGAGAAATATCTTAAATATATTAATTTTTAACATATTATAAAGGAGTTTAAAGGCTAGCTAGCCTTGTTGGTGTTGTTAAGTGTCATTGAGTCAGTTCTGACCCATAGCAACCCTGCACAGGGTTTCCGAGGATGCTGGTGAGCTTGAACTGCCAACCTCGCGGTTCAAACTATTTGGTCTCAAAATGCCTTCATATATTTTTAAATTATTAAGAATGCCAAGTGTTTTTTTTTTTTTTTTCCTCTGGGTTGTATTTATTGGTAGTGCCTATATTAGAAGTTAAAATTGAGAAAATACCCATTTTATGTTAACACAATATATATTTTATAAAAAGATTTTCCAAGCATAAAAGTAAGAAGAGTGGAACTGTTTTACGTTTTTTAAATCTCAAAATTTTCAAAATTTAATAGAAGAAAACTAGATTCTCTAATTGGCTTTTATATCCAAACTGTTGCAATATATTGTTTAGGCATTAAGTATGCAAAGAAAACCTGGCCCGTCACAGGTATGTTGTTGCAAAAAGTATGTTAACAGTCTTTTGAGATAATTGTACAGAGTATCTTCTTTGATGCCACACCCAAACTCAACAAGTGGTAGTTTCTTAAAGGCTAGTTACAATGTAGAATTTGGAACTATATCAATTTTCACACTGTGTTTAAATTCCTAAGTCTATTTGCACTTTAATAGCTCTAACAATGAACTCAAATATATTAATGATGTCATAAGACCAGGCCAAATGTTGTTATATTATACATAAGATCATCAGGAGTCAAAGCCATGGCAACTAATAACCACTTTTACATATGCATGATTCTGTAAATCATACATTGGTCATTTGGAAATTATTGGTTCACCAAGTTATGCAGATGTTCTATATGTTGATACATTTCATTATATATAATACCACATACTAACCACACTTCCCAAGACTTTTCAGTCTCATCAGAAAAGTCTTAGAAAGCTAGCAAGCTTAGAACGGCTAACACATGTTTTTTATTATTCTACATTTTTGTTGTCGTTATTAGGTGCCATCGAGTCGGTACATTCTACATTTTACCTAGAGTTTAATTTTATCATTGGCAGCAAAACAACTGTCGGTTGTTATTCTTTGTGTGTGTGTGTGTGTGTGCACCTCAGACATCTTTATTTCACTCCTGTTATGCCATGAATTCATAGGGAATAAGTCCTAGCAGCTCAGGCTCCTTTCTCTTGGTTCTTACAAAGTGCACCTCTCTGTAGGGAGCAGGCTGGCACTTTAGCTGAACCCAGGTCCATTTCTCTTTGGCTTCCTTCTTTTTCTGATCATTTTCCTTTACTCACTTCAGGAAGCTGTCTTGGCCCTTAGAGTGTTTAATATGCTTAATGTGCACATTAATTTTCTTGGCAAGAATCTTGCCCTTGACTTGCTTGTTCACAACAATGCCGACAGCATGCTGGGTCACACTGTAGACTCTTTATCGGTTTTGCCATGGTAACATTTGTGAGGTGTGCCTTTTTGAACTGGGAATGGAATGGGCATGTCTATTCCCTTAATGTCCACAATATTGCCTTCCTTGTAGATTTGCATGTATGTGGCCAAAGGAACAACCCCATGTGTTCTGAAAAGCCTGGAGAACATATAGCGGGTGTCCGCCTCTTTCCCGTTGTGTTTGTCATCTTGGTGGATTATTGCAAGATGGCGGCTCTGGCCGAAAGGACCAGTTGTTTACCTTGAAGTGACAAACTCACTTCATCTTTTGAGAAACGGCCTGCCAAAAACCAAGGTCTCCATAACTATAGATAGTCAGTCTTTCAAATAACACTAGTGTTCCATGAAAAAATTAAAAAAAAAGAGAGAGCCACTAGTTCAGCTCTCAACTCAAATAATCATACAAGTACTTGAGATCACTGTCATACTTTGGAGTATGCAATAACAGTGTTTTATGCATGCTTTCTATTTTGTCACACAAAGTATTAAATGTACAAGAGGGCTTCAAAGAATTCATGGAAATTTTCCATTATCTTTTAATTTCATTTGTTCATTAACTTTTTGATACTTCCTCATATATATTCTTAAGGGTCAAGGTTTAAACAAATTAATAACTTCTACTGCTTTACAGAAGACATTCTTAAGTAATTTTCTTTTCTTTTTTAAGCTAGCAGGAGAGAATGTAATACCTATTAGCAGAATGTGGTGCCTGTCTTGACCATGCTATGGTGCCAGCCATTTTGCCTACCATTGCTTCTGACTTGTCAGTGCAAAGGACTCAAAATTGCTTAGTATTCCTATAAAAATAGTTAGTGGACCTAAGAAGACTTTAAAACCTGAGGTTTCTGCACACTACATACTGAGATCCACTGGTTTGCCTATTTTCAAATGTTCTGATACAAACCCATCACATTTTAGGTCAAAAATATATTTGGTATAATTAGACTTTACAAATTGAGGCAGCAAGCAAGTCACTGTACTTGAGCAGAAGACCAGATGGTAAGCCAACACGTACCCTCTTGTGGGGTGTGGTTGAGGCCTGAGGGGCTGAAATGTGCACATAGTCATCTGAGTGGCAGAGTGGGGCTGGAGGAGGAGAGGTTGCTGGGGTCCCCAGAGGGGTTCCTTTTCTACCTGCTGAGAGAGAAAGGCAGACTAGAAATGACCTAACTATTAAAAATCTACTTATGACCAATCACCAATCAAATTCAACTTTAGGCATACATACCAGTTGTACCAAAGACTTTACTGTAAGAATGTGACAAGTCAGGTGGGACATTTCCAGGTGAAGTTGGAGGAGTGGTCATACCACAAACCATAGATGGGCTCCAGAGAGTAGCCTAGGGATTAAATAATATATGTTAATAGAGAATTTTAACTCATCCATAAGGCTTATATCCATAAACTAATTGTGCAGTTCCAATTTAGCCTTTTCAGCTATAAAAGGTATCTTAAGAAAGCTTATCAAAGACAAGTTACATTTAGGCAGTTAAACTCCAAAATGAACCCAAGTGGCAATACAACTAATCCATAAAATGAGAAGTGTGAGATTTTCCCAATCATAAACTAAATCTTAAACCAAATGGCTAGCTTCACCATATAGCAGAGAAGAGAGCAGGTACACGATTTTATAGCATACTTGTGGCGGCTCAGTTAACAGCCGTGTTGATGGGGAACTCAGATTCTGAGGTAGCTGCCCTGGCGTATTGAACGTCAGCCGAGAAGTAGAGTAAGGGGTTGAAGTAGTACTCCCTAAAATGAAAGGGAGAGAACACATGGGATTACTGTGTGGTTTTAGATTGTTCTGATCATAAATTATGATTCTTTAGACCATTTGAAAATAATGAATTCTCTATATTTAACAAATCTGAGTGCCTTCCTAACACCCTTAGGGACAAAGTAATGTTTTAAAAGTTCTTTAAAATAAAGTTTAGTAAGATTTGATGTATATAGCTAAACAGAATCTGAATTCACAGCTTCTGCAGGTGTGATCTAATTGTAGATTGTACAGATTTATTAAAACTGTGGCAATATCTTAGATTAGGAAATCTCCCTGTCTGAAAAGTGGAAAGATGCTCGTATAAAGTGGGGCCAAGCAGTCAGATACTTGAACTCATTTTTTTTTCCCTTAATGCATTGTAGACACATGCCCAAGTTTGTTAAGATACCATCATACAAGAAATCAAGAACATGGGACTCTAAATCATAATAACTTCTAAAACTTGAAGGAAGCATTAACTAGGAAAACATAGAGGTAAATCTATCTTTTAAATATTTGGGAAAAGTTGCTAAACCCTGATATAAGTCAATAAAATAAACATTTTCCAGAGACAAAGTTGTAAAGCAGATAAGTACCAAAGTCACTTTTTACCATAGCTATTCTGTGTGTCAACATAAGGGCTGGCGGTGACATCAGCTGAACGATGAGGAAAGTGTGCTGAGATTTGGTGAGACACAGAATAGCCATCTTCATATGAGGCTTCTGTAGGGTCCAGAGAGATTTTGGCACACTCTATGACAACATCATGTGTTTCTAATCTCTTCCACCTATAGAAGGTAATGAAAATCAAGAAATGCAAGTTTGAATCCATTCAATCAACTACCGAAGAGAGTTCAACTCAGGGCCACTTTAGCAGTGAATGAGGCGGAACCACACCAACACAAGTGTTCAACAGTACAAAGCTATAACTGATTTAAAGGAGCTGAAGTGGCACAGTGGGTTAAGCACTGCACTGATAACCAAAAGGTCACTGGTTAAAACTCACCTGCCACTCTAAGAAAAAATGAGGCTTTCTGCTCCCGGAAAAATATATACCCTTGGAAGTCCTCAAGAACAGTTCAACTCTATCCTATAGGCTCACTGTGAAATGGAATTTACTTGATAGCTGAGGGTTTCGTTTGGACTTAATATCTAACTGAAACAGGTTACATCAAATTATCTGTATATAAGCTATAACAAAAAAGGAGCTCTGGTCGCGTAGTGGTTACAAATCGAATCGGGCTGCTTAATCTCACAGTCAGCAGTTTGAGACTACCAGCTGTTCCACGGGAGAAAGATGAGGCTTTCTGCTCCCATAAAGATTTACAGTCTCAGAAACCCTGTACAGGGTCACTTTGAGTTGGAACCGACACCATGGCACATAACAACCAAACTACAACAAAAGACTAGGCATACACTCAAATAGAACATAAAATATGCAAAGCAGCTCCCAGAGAAATAATTTCCCATAGAACAATGGAAATCAAACAGGGAGGCCTGGAAATCATCAGGCCCCAAGGTCTCCCATCAAAGCCTTAGGTTTCTAATCCATCACTAAACGTAAAATAGTGCATAAATACCCAAACCTAAAGAAAGTTCACAAGATTATTTCAAGAATTATCTAAAGATTTTCAATATGTGATCTACAATTCCATTTCTAAAAACATGATCTCATGAAAAGACAAACACCAAGCTAAACAATAGTGATATATATACAACAGTATTCATCACAGCACAGCCTGTAATAGAAAGGTAATAAATAGTCTAAATCCAACCAAAGATATAATCTACAGAAGAAATATTATTACCACACCATGAAAAAACCATGTTATCAACAGATTAATGGCTGCAAGAAGTTGGGAGAGACTGACCACAAAGGGCATTAAAATTTTTTTTAATTGTTTATCATGATTAATATTTGCTAAAACATATCAAATTAATGAATTTTATTGCATGTAAACTAAACTTTACTAAATCTGATTTTAAAAATCATGCTTCTGTATAAGAACAAACTCAGAGACTATGAGAGGTCAGTCTATGATCAAAACAAATACAGGGTAAAGGGAGGTAAATGCCTAGGAAAAGAGTCTCAGATTGGGAAAAGATCAACTCAATCACAGGATAAAATAGACTGCACTAAAAGGACAGAGAATATAATGGCCCATAAGACAATCTCAAAGAAAATTAACACTTCACAGCATCCCAAGAGAATGAGAA